ATAACATTATGTATGTGCTTGATATATTTTGAAGTCAAATGGACAATGACTCTCACCAAGCTTTTAGTTGACTGGGGTGGTCTCAAGAATAGGTTCTTGGATCAGGAGAAGAGGAGAAATAGAGCATATTAGCAATCAACCAAACACATGCATTTGACTGAATTTATAGAAACTGAATATTTACTGCAGAATTTATAGATTTATATACATTTATAGGATTTTGCTTTAACAATAGACTGACAATGTTAAATGAATTGTTATTATGGAAATCATGACTAAAAGCTCATGTGTTTCATTTCAAAGCTGATAATAATTACATTTACATTTACATTAGTTAGTATGCGATCTATAACCTGACCTTTTGTACTACATCATGGCTTACTATATCTGGCTAATGTTAGTAGAGAACATTTTTAACTGTGTTTAGTTTACTAATTAAATGTTAAACATGGTTTCTGGGGAAATGATGTGTGATAAACCTGAAGGTTCAAGTTTCAAAGAGGTTCTTTGTGAATGGTTGGAAAATAGTGGAAAAGTGTGTTCCAGTTATAGTGAATGGTGGGAGAATGGTAGAAGGTGGACTCTGGTTGTGGTGAATGGTGGGAGAATGGTAGAAGGTGGACTCTGGTTGTGGTGAATGGTGGGAGAATGGTAGAAGGTGGACTCTGGTTGTGCTGAATGATAGGAGAATGGTAGAAGGTGGACTCTGGTTGTGGTGAATGATGGGAGAATGGTAGAAGGTGGACTCTGGTTGTGGTGAATGGTGGGAGAATGGTAGAAGGTGGACTCTGGTTGTGGTGAATGGTGGGAGAATGGTAGAAGGTGGACTCTGGTTGTGGTGAATGATGGGAGAATGGTCGATTGTGGACTCTGGTTGTGGTGAATGATGGGAGAATAGTCGATTGTGGACTCTGGTTGTGGTGAATGATGGCAGAATGGTAGAAGGTGGGCTGTAGTTCTAGTGAATGGTGGGAGAATGGTGGAAAGGTGGCTTACACTTTTAGTGAATGGTTGAAGAAAGCTGGAATAGTAGGCTACACTTCAAGTCAATGGTGGGAGAATGGTGGGAAGGTGGCTACCAGGTTTAGTGAATGGTGGTGTTTACGTCTCTGTGTAATATATTACTATGAAACTATTGTGAAACTAATTCTACTGATTTAAGCTGATGATGTTTCTCAGAAGACATTATAACACAATCCACTTTGCCAAGGAAAATGCAAAGACTATTACACATGTCCTGCATATATAAAAGTCCTACATAGATGGTATGTTGGTCCATCATTAAACCTCTTTAATCATGTTATAGCTATACTCATGCTATCACTTAACAATTACTTTATAATGCAATTATTTAGCTGATCCTAATTATGGTTATGTGCTTCTGAGATTTGGAAACCCACCACTGCCACAATCCAGTTTTCCACGTGTCAGAGTGCCAGCGATCTCCTTGCCATTCTTATCCACACACCAGCAGTAGCCAGTGCTGTGCCAGCACTGCTTGGGCTTGAAGTTGCCCTCCTCATCGCACTGTGGCTGATAGAAGCCTGGTTTGATCTGCCCAGCCTCAATCTTACACTTAGTCTCCAACACGAAAGCTACAGACGGAAGGAGGATGGCAAAGATAAAGAGAGAGACCTGGGTCTGTGTTTTTATTTAAGAACTTTATCTGAATATGCTACTAGTTCAAGCTGCTAGGATACAACCAACTTTTATCACTAGCCAGCACTGGTATTTTAGTTCAGTATGATAAACCTAAACTTTTGCTACATGTACATTATGATCTTAAGGTCTGATATCACAACCAAGAACTGTTTCCTTTTAATCATTTATGAAAAAATGGATAGGTTATACAGGAATTATATAACAACAACAACAACAATAATAATAACAGTTATTATTATTATTATTATTATTATTATTTATTTATAAACTAAAATGTGTTTTTGTTCCCCATGGTACAAACGATATAAATGTTCAACAATGTTTCAGAAAAGAAGAACAAACTTTTTGTTACATTTGCTAAATAAAAACAGGTCCTGATTGTGAACTCAGATTTCGGTACCCTACAGTGCGCGTGTGTGTGTGTGTGTGTGTGTGTGAGAGAAGAAGAATGAATTTCCTACCAGGAAGCTCAGTGGACTTTTCCTCCTCCTCGAGCTTTTGCAGGCTGAACAGAGGCATGTGGTTCATGGCGGAAACCACCCTCTTGCTCTGGGCAATTACTCTGGGGCCTTCTAACAACAAAAATTTGCTTAGTTCATCTGTTCATAATTTTCTTGCGAAAAATATGGTTTCCATATGACAAGTGTTTTATTAATAGGCTTGCATATCACTTCTGCTTCATTACTTTCATATAGTGACATCACTCTCGTCTCACTCTCATTCTTTATTTTACACATTTCCACCCTCTCACTATCTGTCCACAGATCATATATGAATTTCTGATGTAAAGGGGGCTTTTAAATTTGACTCATCATTGCTATCATTTGATGCATCATTGTTCCATTTATAATAAGAAGTGTTTTGTACTGTACCATCCACAAGACCACTTCCCTCCTTCTGGCTTGGGAAGCTGGATGACTGCAGTTTCTGAAAAAACAGGAACAATGTTTTTATAATTACAATAAAAAAGATAATGTAATACGAGAATGCAATCATGGGTTGTTACAAACACAAATCTGTTTGTTTTTTTTAAAAGGTCAGGATTGTTTCTGACTTTCTGGACTAATAGATAAAGAGCCCTAGTGCTGTGTTTTTCTTTCTGTAGCTCAGATCTCACCGTGAGTGGTACGCGCTGATTTGGGCTGGCCTCATCGAAAGCCCTCATCAGTGGCATTTTGCTCATGGGGGTGTTCATCATTTTAGGAGCAACTATGGAGACAATGAGAAACAGCAATTCATAATTAATTGCATTTGAATAATAGGTAGAAAAAGGAAAAAAAGTACTTCCCCACTTCTACTTTTTTGTTATTTATTAATATATTCATGAATCCCTTCTACCTCACTACTGCATATGTTGTCTTCCTGTTATATCAGATCTTGTTTTCACCTTTATAAGCCTAACTGGTTTATGACCTGAGTAGTTTTGGTCCTTCTCTTTCACTTCCTCATTTTCTCATTGTTTTGCTGCTTTCTGTCTGTCGTACCTGTTAGCATGCGAGTCAGCTCCTTCTTCAGGGTGTCCTGACCCTGCTGCAGAGCTTGGAGATGATCCTTCTGTCCCACGACATAGTAGGCTGTGAAAGCTTGACCAGCCAGCAGGAGACAAGCCAGCACGGTCAGACCAGCCACCTTCAGTGCTTTACCATTGGGGTTCCTGCTGCAGAGAAGAAAAGACTAATGAGGGGCAAATTCGACATTTGACAACTAATATATCAATGATCATTTTTATTTTCACAAGGTATAATACTTGCTATGTCTCTTATGCATATCCATAAAAAAAACATATTTAATGATCATTACTAAAGTATGATAATTAAAATAAAACTGGCAGTTCTGATTGAATATAGAATGTCAATAAAATATAATGAATTTATACTAATATGTTTAAAAAATTAATGAATATAACAATAGTATAAAATATATTAGATTAGATATTATGTAAAGATTGCACATTTAAATTAAACCAAAAATTCTAATATGACCCAAATTGTTAAGCGTGTTAAAAAATACAAATAAAAATGGGGGAAAAACCAGCAAGATTTGATTCAACTTGCTTGCTATGCAGATTATTTTCTTCATATTGCATAAAGACTCCACAAGCAAATTAATAGACTTGGAGGAATTATGTATAGGGCTTAGAAGTCCATATATTACAATAAACAAATAAGTAAGTAAGTAAGTAAATAAATCATTTACATATAATATATGACAATAGTTTATGTTTTTTAATATGCCAAATAAGTGGAATAGATTTAAATAAAAGGCATACAAATAAATAAGCATGATCATAAAAATCTTTTTAAATAGCGATTCATCTGAATGTGACCAATCACAAATATGCCCCGCGTCTGACGTCACACGTCGCCGGGTAGAACTGGATTCCTATCCATGACTGCGATGAAATTGCAACTTAATACACTGCAAATTTTTATAAATTAACGTATTATATCATTTATGTGCGTCTTTTGTACCAAAAATATGGCTGAGTAAACAGAGATCAAAAAAAGCGTTCTAAGCTGCAACGTAAAAAATTAAATAATATGTTAGTGCAATTTTATTACAAAATTTACTCTGCAGTCTATTAAATTATATCTCAATAATCTAAAGGACTGCATTGCAAGCTATAGTCTTGGCAATAAAAACGTTACAGCACACTGTTAATTTGATCAAAACAAACAAACAAACAAACATTCAGGTGTTATATACTGAGTGGAGATTTAGAGTTGTGTGTGTGTGTGTGTGTGTGAGAGAGAGAGAGAGAGAGAGAGAGAGAGAGAGTCTCACCGCCTCGGCTCGGTCACAGTCTCGGAGCTGGAGGCTCTCTCCAGCAGGGCGTCGCTGTGCTCTTCCATCCTCTCAGGTGTGTGAGTGTCTCTCTCTCTGTGCTGGATTTATTTCTCTCTGCTGAAGACTGAAAGCAAATGAACGCTCTGCAGCCCAACAAACTGTTTTTAACCGGTGGGGCGGCACGGTTTCTCTAGGCTGATGGAAAGTCCCAGTTTAACGTGAGGAGGAGCATCGAACGCATTGAAGCACATACACTAGCCTACTTCCGCACTAAATAGTATGCTTAACAGGTTGCAGCCTATATTGTCAAAGTATTTAAGAGGCGAAAGTGGCATGCTAATCAAAACCGAATGAATGAGTCGATTCCTTAATGTTTTGATTCAGAAATGCTTTCATAACAAGAAATTCTGTACATGTAAAACAGTAGTTTATATATATATATATATATATATATATATATATATATATATATATATATATTATATATATATATATATATATATATATATATGAATTGTGTATTAAGCTATAATGATTGTAGTAAACTTAAGGAATATATAATTAGTGGTTAGCACGTTTGCCTCACACCTCCAGGGTCCGGGGTTCGAGTCCATGTGTGTGCGGAGTTTGCATGTTCTCCCAGCGCTGCAGGGGTTTCCTCCGGGTACTCTGGTTTCCTCCCCCAGTCCTAAGACATGCATGGTAGGCTGATTGACGTGTCTAAAGTGTCTGTAGTGTATGAATGGGTGTGTGAGTGTGTATGTGATTGTGCCCTGCGATGGACTGGCATCCTGTCTCCAGGGTGTACCCCGCCTTGTGCCCGATGCTCCCTGGGATAGGCTGCAGGTTCCCCGTGACCCTGAAAAGGAGTAAGCCGCAGAAGATGGATGGATGGATTCTACAGTAGTATACTTCTAATTTTCTGTGCTGCTATAATACAGTATGTCAATTTCCTTCTGGGATGACTAAAGTGATCTATCTATCTATCTATCTATCTATCTATCTATCTATCTATCTATCTATCTATCTATCTATCTATCTATCTATCTATCTATCTATCTGTCTGTCTGTCTGTCTGTCTGTCTGTCTGTCTGCCTGCCTGCCTGCCTGTTTATTTATTTTAAAAATTACTTAATTAAAATAAATTATGGAGATTAATTAAACCGAATGGCTTTAGAATTATGCTAGTCACACTGCTGTTCATTTCCAAATCTAAAGCTCAATAACTTGGGTTCAGTATTGTCAACTTTAGTCACACTAAAATTAATCGCAATTTAACAATGAAAAAAAGTCCCGTTTTTGACACAAATTGTTCATATAAACAATTAAACTCATTGTGTATAATTGTTTTGCTTCATGTGAATATACTAAATTAAAAAAAAAAAGCTCAAATGGCTTCACTGAATAAATATGAAAGGATAGCCTATTTTAACCAAACATGCGTATTATTATAATACAAATATTACTCTATACTTAGTAATTTATTATTTAATCAGATCTGAATAATAAAAAATCTGATTATTCAGGTTTTTATTTTCCAGTAGGCTAAATGAATCAATGTATTTAAAAATAATAAAGAGAAGGAGAGAGAAGAAGAAGAAGAAGAAAGTCGAGAGGAGTCGTTCAAAAGAGAATTGATTCATTTGTGATTCACTTTCACATACTATTTAGTACAGTAGTACACCCGCGATGTGGAACGTATCCAGAGATTCGGTTCTCTCTCTCTCTCTCTCTCTCTCTCTCTTTTCCTCCTCTCTTTAAATCTCATTGGTTGACCTGTGCAGCGTCATCAGTTGACAGCTAGATGAAAGCTTGAATGAGAACAGCAGGGAGGTAGAAAAGTGGTCACACAGAACTCTTAGTATTGAACATATCTGAATATGTAATTGAACTTGGCATATTATATATATATATATATATATATATATATATATATATATATATATATATATATATATATATATTACAAAACATAATACAATCTACATCTGAGGTTTAAATAGATTACTTGAAGTCCATAATTCTGATCTCCTTTTGCAGTATGCAAATGCCTTGGTCTATTAAACACAAACTGTTTACTGTACAGCAAATTGATTTTCAGCCTCCATTATTTTGGTGCTATTTTAATTCATGAAATAAAAATGGTTGAGAATGAATTGCTTTATTAACACATTACAGTGCAAGATTTCCTGCATGCTTTCCATTTGTTTTTATTGCCGATTCACTTTCCCCAGATACGACTGAGTCACTTCCCTGATGTTCATGCTGATTTGAGAATAAATCTCCATATTGGCCAGGATAGACAACTGTTCGGGTTTTTCCAAAAACAAGGAAGTGTGAAATACTTTAGAAAGAGAAAGATGAAACAATCATAATGTCACAATAAGCATTCTCTAAATTTGAAATGATATATTTTGGACTTAGTTTTTTTTTTCTAAGGATATATCTGAATATAAAACAAGGAATGGCAGATAGAACTTTATAATACTAAATTCATAATATTTCATAATGTAATTTGATGTATTTTACTTTAGCTATATGTATATATGAAAACATATAGCTATATGAAAACAATATTAAACAAATGTTAAATAGGGTTTTATTTAAAATAGTTATGTGACAGAACCTTTTTTCTCACTAAGGCCATTTAACGCCTGTATGTTTGGAGATGTAAAGAAAAGCACTTAAGAGTGTATGTGATTGTCTTGTACACATGACATATTTAACAATATTTAACAAAATCCAGACCTGTGATTGACATTCAAATGAAAAAAACAAAAACAAACTATGAATATTTAAACCTGTTAAACAGCAGTGTTGCAGCTATAAGCACCAAACTGGTTTACATTAGACCACGTTTTAATATGTAGTAATATATAGCTCCTAATTTCTTCATAACAAACACTTCCTGATGATTTTATATTTAACACTCAGTTGCTGTCTTTCTGTTAATAAAAGGTATAACCTGATTGTAGATTTTGCTTTTATTATACTGTAAGTATTCCAGCCCTGCATTAATTTATTCATATTCCACTTTCAGAATTTATTTATTCATGATTCTGTGGTTGTTAAGTAGTGGGAAGCCTAGAGAGTTTTCTCTTCCTTCTGGAAAGTTCTCATTTTTCAAATTTGTTTTTTAGTGTTAAGCTCAGTGAAAAGGGTAGTGAAACTGTCTGATTAAAAGGAGACACTAAGATATAAGAAGGTCTACATGTATATAGATGCAATAGCAAGGAAGAATAAAGATTTTTTTTTAATGAATGAATTAGTTTTTTAAGCTGGATGGGTCACCAGGGCAAAACACACAAAAACATTCACACACAAATGCTTTCTTCTAGGTCAGGTGTAAATAAACCAAAGCTGAACAACATTAAAGAGGCCATAAAATTCACTGTATGGAAAAAAAATAATAATGATATCACCAAATTGTATGCATATACTGTATATATTCTAACAATTCATTACATGAAATTACTGGTGTAATTTATTGTATTACAATAGCACATCTCTAATACATGCAAGTTATACATGTTGACATTAAGCCAAACTGATGAAAGTTAAATAAATAAATAAATAAATTTTAGTAATACTTGTTCAAACAGTTCAGAAGTGTATACCAGTAAAAAAAAAAAACTAAACTAAAACACTAGATATTTAATGACAGAAAAATCATAATTTGAAATGATATAAAAATAAATTCTGTAAAGGTATATAGTTCGATATCTATACACCAACCAGCTGAGATAATATACTTTTTTCAATGGAGTATCTGATTTAGTTGGTTGATAAACAATCTTGGTGGTGTGTGCTTTGAATTATACTTGGATTATTTCTTTCTTTATTTATTTTACCATTTCTAGCTTGAACGAGAACATTAAAACAAGGAAGTTGAGAGTTAAAATGTAAAATTAAATGTAATGCATATATAAGTATTACTGAATCATCAGTGTGTTTAACAGTGTGTTTAAAAATCTTAAACCGATCTTTTTTTTTTATCATAGAATTTTTATTGGAAATTTGCATTTTTAACATCATAACACAGAACACCCCACCCAACAACCCCCACAAAACAACCACAGCCAATACCAAAAGAAAGGGGAGAGAGAAAACAAATAAATGAGTAAAATAAATAAATAAAAATTAAAAACTAAATAAATAAATAAATAAAATAAAGTAAAATAAAATAAAAAAATAACAGAAAGGGGGTAAGATGGTTAGTGTTCACCGTCTACCTCTCCTCAATCTACCTCCAGGGTGCGTAAATCATTGAAATATGTAATAAATTGTTGCCATTTTCCCAAAAATGAGTCACCCCTACCTCTGATGTTGTACTTGATTTTTTCCAGCTTCAAAAAGAACATTAAATCTCTAAGCCAAACTGATATAGAGGGGAGTTGCGGAGAGGTCCAAGACAACAATATTCTGCGCCGAGCAAGCAACGATGCAAAGGCCAAAACACTAGCCTGTTTATGGTTCAGAGGCTGACACTGAGATGAAACACCAAAGATGGCGATTAAAGGACAAACATCCAATTTGATTTTAAGAATGTCGGTCATAGTCCCTAAAAAAAGAGTTCCAAAAGGTCAGTAGTTTGGGACAGAGTGCAAACATATGACTCAGCTTACAGGGTGAAAGTTTGCATTTCTCACACATGTCAGGGACATTGGGATATATTTTAGACAATCTACTCATAGATAGGTGAGCTCTATGGACCACTTTAAATTGTATAAAACTAAGTCTAGCACAGGACGTGGTGGTCCGTATATTATCTAACGCTCTGCCCCAGTAATGATCCTCAAGCTCCAGGCCCAATTCCTTTTACACTTACAGTTACAAGCACTTACAGTTTTTATATTGTAAGAATCATCCTGAGACCAGATAGTTGCATATATCTGTGAAATAATGCCCCTTTTATGAGGATTCAGCTTGAACACCTCTTCCCATGCAGACTTTGTAGGTAAGGAGGGAAAACCAATGAATAGGGAGGAGACACAGTGCCTAATTTGAAAGAAACGGAAAAGGTGAGACGGAGGCAGGCTGAATGACGAGGATAATTCAGAAAAGTTTGCAAACACATTATTAATGAAAAGATCCTCAAGGCATTTCAGACCCTTCTTTTCCCAAAGAGAGAATGTGGAATCCATAAAAGAGGGGGGAAAGAGATGGCTATTACATATAGGAGCCATGGTGGAGGCCGAGATAGAATCTTAAACCGATCTTAATCAATTTAAGTTTCAACATAATCCTGAACCTGTGGGCATTCCAGCGATTTCTTTGAGTTTTCATACAAATTTACATAAGAATGAACAAGAAATCAACTGCTAATTATGCTCCTTATCGGAATCTGCATGAACTTCATACACCCATATCAGTGTGCATCTGTCAGATGGGTTTTTTTCAATTTCTAGGTTGAAAAAAAGCTTATGTTGAATTCATGCTGCTACAAAAAAATATTATAGTATTGTTTTCCAAATTATATAAAAATCAAACTAACCAACCATCTAACTAACTAACTAACAGCTAAATAACAAAAACTTGCCAGCTTATTACACAACTGTTAAAAACAGGCCTAGTTTGCGAAGAGGGAAAAAAAATGCTCTGGTTTCCCAGTATTAAAATGCTC